AAAGGGTCTGGGATTGTAGCTCAGTTGTAAGACATCCCTAGATTCAATTCCCAGTACCACAAAAACAACCAACCAACCTGTGTACTTCTTAATGTACTTTGGAGCTGATGCTTTTCATCATGAAGTTAAGTTGCAAAAAGATGTAGTTTCCATATGTTGTACATGCTTTTTAATTTTTTTCTTAAAATTAATCTTAATTATTTAATTTGTTCTAATTATACATGGCAGAATGCATGTTGGTGCGCCTGGGTTGTATTTATAGATAACTAAGGAAAGTAAGGTATGAAAATAGTTTGGTTACATCTCCTTTACCTTCTTTGGGCATGATCTGATCAGTGGAGCCTGTGATTAGTTGAAGCTTGGGTGAGACTTTGATTGGGTGAGACTTCACCATCTGTTGAACTCTTTAAGTCAGTTAGGTTTCACTTTTATTTATGTACTGAGTTGCTGAGTGGCACTTCAGTATATAGGAACTGAAAGTATGGAGACAGCCTTATACCAGTGACCTTATTTAATTTACCTCATCTATTACAATAAGTTGCTATAAACATTATTTTGTGGATATACACTTTCATTTCTCTTAGGCAAATGCCTAGGAGTTGTGTAGCAGGTATGTGTTTTTTGTTTCAATTACAGATGGACACAATACCTTTATTTTTATTTGTTTATTTTTATGTGGTACTGAGGATCAAACCCAGTGCCTCATTCATGCTAGGTAAGCACTCTAACCACTGAGCCCCAGCCCCAGCCCAGGTTTTTTTTTTTTTTTTTTTTTTTTTTTTTTTAGTTTTAGGTGAACACAATATCTTTATTTTCCATTTATGTGGTGCTGAGGATTGAACCCAGTGCCTCATGCATGCCAGGCGAGCACCCTGCCACTGAGCCACAACCCCAGCCCCAGGTATGTGTTTTTTTAAGAAACTGCCAAATTCAGGGCTGTGGCTGTGGCTCAGAGGTAGAGCGCTCGCCTGCCATGCATGTGGCACTGGGTTCGATCCTCAGCACCACATAAATGGAAAATAAAGATATGGTGTCCACCTATAACTAAAAAAAAAAAAATTAAAAAAAAAAAAGAAAAGAAACTGCCTAATTATTCCTTTTAAATGGTTGTACACCTCACATTTATCCCAGCAGCATTTGGAAGGCCTGGTTGCTTCTCTTTGCTGTTTCATTTAGGCATTCTAATGGATATTTTGTATTTCAGTATGAGCATATCTTCATGTGCTTATTATTTTATATATATGTATCTTTAGTGAAGATTGTAGATGTGTATATGTATATATGTACATATATACACACATATATATCATCTGTTCAGATCATTTGTCTTCCCCCCTTTTTAAATTGGTGCATTATAGTTATACATTCATTTATCATTTTTAATTATTTTTATTTTTTTAATATTTATTTTTTATTTTTTTAGATGGACACAATATCTTTATTTTATTTTTAAGTGGTGCTGAGGATTGAACCCAGTGCCTCATGCATGCCAGGTGAGCGTGCTACCACTTGAGCCATATCCCAAGCCCTGCAATAATCATTTTTTAAATTGAACTTTTTTATTCCTGAGTTTGGGGTTCTTTCTGTATCCTGAATACAACTCCTTTGTCAGATAATGTGATTTGCAGGTATTTTCTTCTATTCTCTTAACAGTGTCTTGCAAATAGCAGAAATGAGTAATTTTGATGGTCTAATTGATTACTTTTATCTTTTTGGATCATGCTTTTGTGGTGTGTCTAAGAATCTTTGCCTAAGCCAAGGGCCACAAAACTAGTGCCTTAGAAAAATGATAGTTCCCATTTTCTTCATGCAAATTTTACAGTTTTAGGTTTTATCTTTAGATGTAGATCCATTTTAAGTTAATTTTTGTATATGTTACAAGGTGCAGATATCTAATCATTCCAGCTTCAGTTGTTGAAAGGTTGTCCTTTCTCCACCGGAATGCCTTTGCATCTTTATAGAGAATCAGTTAACCAAATGAGTAGTTCCTTTTTCTGGACTCTCAGTTTTGTCTTACTGACCTATTTATTAGTGTTTCTCCATACTGCTGATTTTTGTAACTTTGTAAATAAACCTTGAAGTCAAGTAGTGTAAAGATTCCAGTTTTCTTTTTCAAAGTATATTTCCGTATGGTTTTAGAATTAATATGTTAATTTCAATAAACAACAAAAAGAAAACACACACACACACACACACACACACACACAAAGCCTGCTAAGATTTTGATTGGAATTAATTTTAATCTATTGCTCTAGTTGGAGATAATTGACATGTTAACACCATTAACTTCACTGATGTTTGAACATAGTTCCTTTCTCCATTTACATTTTTTTTTTAAAGAGAGAGACAGAGACAGAGAGAATTTTTAATATTTATTTTTTAGTTTTCGGCAGACACAACATCTTTGTTTGTATGTGGTGCTGAGGATCCCTTCTATTCATTCCCCTTTGTGTAATCCACTGGACTTTTCTTACCGCCCCCCCCCCCAAATTGTGTGTTAGCATCTGCACATCACAGAGAACATTCGGCCTTTGTTTTTTGGTGATTGGTTTATTTCACTTAGCATGATAGTCTCCAGTTCCATCCATTTACCACAAATGCTATTTCATTCTTCTGTATAAAAAAACTTTTAAAAGATATGTCATGAGCACCTAAAATATGTAGAGTAATATATATTATCATTTACTACCAGAAAATATACATGAATTTGTTATATAATAAGTTAACACCAAGCTGGGGCTGTAGCTCAGAGGCAGAGCATGCATGAGGAACTGGGTTCAATCCTTAGCACCACATAAAAATAAACAAATAAAATAAAGGCATTCTGTCCATCTTAAAAAAAAAAAAAAAAGTTAACACCAAAACTTTTTTTACATGGACAGTGCATGGTACCATTTGCAGTCAAGAGAAATATAAAACAAAAGAAATGTGGTATTAAATCACAATTGTTTAAAATTGACTGTAGTATATACTGTATTACTGTAGTGTTTTTTTTTTGTTTTATTTTGTTTTTGCCCCCACCTATTGCTACTGTGATGAATTCAAGGGTTGAGAGTATTTGTCTCTGCATGAACTATACCAATAAATTGGATGTAGCAGTAAAAAGTGATCCCTCATAGTTCTCTTGTGTTTCTCACCATATATATTTATAACATAATAAAATAGTGCTAATTAACTGTTTATGTTATCTGTCTGGCCAACAGCTGCTATTAGTAGTTAAGTTTTTGGAGAGTCATCAGTTATACATATAAGTTGTTTGTGTTCTTTACACATCATTGGACCATTTATTCCTAATTACTTGTTTGTTTGAGGGGTGGTGCTAGGGACCAAACCCAGGGCTTCAAACATGATAGGCAAGTGCTATACCACTGAGCTACACCTCCAGTCCTACTGTCTTATGAATATTTTTATGACCTTGTAAATGTGATTAAAAACAGAATTATAGTTTCTGATTGTTTGAACATTGTTTTCTCTAGAAATGGCATTGATTTTTGAGTACTGATCTTATATCCTGTAACCTTTCTAAACTTATTAATTCTAGTAATTTTTCTGTTTTATTTCATCAGGTTAAGCATAGTCTTTTAGGTCACTGTCAGATCAGAGTTGAAGAAATGTTTAATTTCAGAAAATTAATATTAATACCTAAGAAGGAGCTGGACATGGGTGGTGCATGTCTATAAGCCTCAGGAGGCTGAGGCAGGAGGATGGCAAGTTCTAGGCCAACCCTGGGGGTGTAGGATGTAGGTCTGGAATGTAAATGAGTGATAAAAATGCCCTTGGGTTTAATCCCCATCACCAAAAACAAAACAAAACAAACCCTGGAAGGAGTGATGTGCAGCAGCGCAGTGTTTTGTCATCGTTTTTATTTTAATGAAGTAACCAATATTTCTCATAACACGGAACCGTTGAAATTTAAGCCACCATTATTAAAATAGTTGAGTTAGTAGGCAGTTTGAGTAAAATAGTTGATTTTGAGTAAGTAATTGCTGTTTGTTTTTATTTTTGGAATTCTAAGAATCTGTTCAAATTATATATTTTGGGGGAGAATCAGTTGCCTTGGTGATGGTTTTGGTGAATGAGAAAGAATATTTGGTATGGACTTTCATGTTTGTGACTGGAACAGTCATTACATGTATCATAGTGTGATTCACTGAGAAGGAAGGAATGGGTTTGGGATTATCAATTTAACTTGCAAATGTTAGATTTTAGGCCTGTTGTTTGATTATGTTATTTGGATGCTTGTAAATGAAGAAATAAATCTTAGGTTAAATAAGGCCCAAAGTCATAGCTAGTCAGTTGCAAAATTCGAACTCAAACCTAGGGCCTTCTGACTTCAAAGTCCACATTATTATGCCTTCTGCTATATTGTATCCCCAATGCAGGAAAAAAAAATGCTTGGCTTTTACAATGATCAAATGTTCCCTGTGAGTTATTATAAATAGATAGCAAAGTTTGCAAGTTCAGATGCCTATAGGGTTCAGAAAGGTAACTGTGAGCCAGGTTGTAATGTAAGAGTGGTGATATTTGTGGAGAACTGCAAAGTCCATCTAAACAGTTAGATGCTAATCAGCCCCAAACTATGTGGGAGTGTGGACCCAGTATTGCCAGACCTACTTATTTTTCAAGAGAGGTCATAAATCTGGATTTGTTTGGTAAACACTTGAGATTGTAAATGTAGGCAGCTATCCTTTAACACACAGCGTGGACCAATCTTAGGTGGGTCCATTAAAGACATTGTGTGCTGGATTCAGCCCAGTGGGTAAAAGTTGTATGTGATATAGTCTGGAAGCAACAATAAATTTATATGATGGGAATAGGGTTGTCACTCTGTATAATGAGCACATTACAGACATTAAAATGTAGGTTGTTTAGTTTAAACATGGTGTTTAGTGAGTCAAGGTTTGACTTCAGTTTTCATATGTATCAGTTAATTACATATGGGCTAGGGAGGAATTGCTCCCTGTAGCTCTTGCCTCCTAATTGCATGCTTTCATTTGCAGATAGAGCCAGTTTTGAGTGTGTGGATTTTTGAATGAAACCTGGAACCCAAATGAGAAGAAACCTTCAAGGAACAACTTCTATTGATAATGAGTCTGCAAAATCATCTGTGTGCATACATATGGAGTGTTCTCATTTCAGATTTAGCTGAATGAATGGTTCATTCATGAGAAGTGGTAAGTCTCAGTATCTCCCCAATAATTAAATAACCTTAATCTTTTCCATATAAAGACGACTTTCCCTATATTTTTAGTATTTACTGATGAATAGTGAGTTAATTTTTGTATTATAGAGAATGATGATAATGGAATCTGAGGGAATTCTTATCCGTAACAACACGTTTAATGTTTGATTTCAGAGTCTGACTGTTCTTTTGATTAGGCACATAATTTCCTTTGCCTCTATGTTTTCTTTTATTTCTTCTGCAGTTCAAGACCTGAAATATTGTCCTTGAAATATTCAACCAACACTGAGGTGATGGTCATATTTACCAGTAACCATTCTTTTTTAGTTGTGATAGCTTTTAGTCCCTTTGGAAGTGATTGTTTTAGGAATGGGCCTGAGTGCCACTTTTGTCCAATAGGAGATAAAAGGGAAATGTGTAAAAAGATTTTGGAGAAGGTTTTCTTGCTTTTGAGAAAAAGAAGAAAAAAGAGATGATTTCTTTTCTCTCTAGAATTGTTTTGTCTGAGTGTGACTTCTGGAGCAGCTGCAGCCTTCTTGCTAGTAGCCTGAGGATGATGCCTTCTGTGAAGAAAGGCAGAACCAAGGCTTCTGCAGAAGAGTAGAACTGGAGCCCTGTTTAATATGTCTGCAGCCACTTTACCTGAATCTCCTTACTGTTAAAGCAGTTTTGCTTTGACATTTTCTGTTATTTGCTGCAGAAATCATACAAATTCATTTGATTTCTCTTTTTCTAATTACACAGTACCTGCACATGGAGTGTACTGTGTGCACTCTGCCACGGAGCTGTATCCCCAGCTACTTTTTTTCTTATGGTTGTGATGAAAAATGGGAGAATAACCTTTTAAGAAGATTGGGAAGGGCTGTGGTTGGAAGCTCAGTCGTGGAGTGCTTACCTAGCATGTTTGAGGAACTAGGTTCAATCCTCAGCACCATATAAAAACAAGGTATATGGCAAAATGACTTGACTTTCTTAAAAAAGGGGCGGGGAGCCAGTTGCCACGGCACATGCCTGTAATCCCAGGGACTTGAGGCAGAGGCCAGTGAGAGGATCATATGTTCAGTGCCATCTTTGGCCGAGCAAATTAGTAAGACCCTGTTTGAAAATAAAAGAAAAAGGGCTAGGAATGTGGCTTAGTGATTAAGTGCTCTGGATTTATTCCTGGTACCAGGAATAATAATAAGAAGAAGATAGGGAAAGTTATATGATGTATTTTATGTATTGATTTAAACACAGTAATACCATTATTTTGTAATACAAGAAGTTTAAGCCAGGTGTGGTGGCACATGCCTGTAATCCTAGCAACTCATGAAGCCAAGGCAGGAGGATCATGATTCAAACCCAGCCCTGGCAACTTAGCAAGACCCTGTCTCAGAATGAATGAATGAATAAAGTGAGTGAATGAATGAATGAGTGAATAATGGGTTGGGGATGTAGGCCAATGGTAGAGTACCCCTGGGTTCAGTCCCCTATATCACCAAAAAAGAAAGAAAAAGAATTTAAAAAGAAATTTAAATCACTAAGTACATCTTTAATATGCTTTATTTTATATATGCTTTGAAAAATTTATATGAATGGAACATGTCTTACCTGAAGTAATTGTGGCAGACATATGACCTAAGCCAGATCAACCAAATGAATCTGGGAAAGCTGAGATAAAGGTTCTCCTATTCTGAAACTTAACCTGAAAAACAAAGGACTCCTGGCAGCTGTCATCTGACCGTGAAAGGCAAATTAGTCGAGTAAGAAGCAATACTGAAGTAGTTAGTAGAGAATGGGGAGAAAACCCCAGAACACTTTGGTCACCTCAGTTGAGGGGCTAATCAGGCCTTTCTTAAAGATAGTACACTTCTAGACGCTCAGTTATGTGAGCCAGTGAATTTCTTGTTTAATCCAGGGGTTTTAGATTTTCTCTTACATTTATGTAAAAATATCCTAACAGATATATTTTTATCACTCATTCTACATTTAATTGATAATTCAAGGGATTTATGAAGAAATGTAAATTCGGCATATAGACCTCTGGTATGGGTTATGGGTATGTATGGTGGCAGGTAATGCAGTCCATTCATTTTTTTTTTTTTGTTCAAATACACAAGTATTAAGTACAACTGCTATTGTGGTAATATATTTGCAATATTTTCAATGTCTGTATCTTTGCAAATGGAGATTATTGTTAAATAGAGAAAACTAATATTAATAATCTTACTGACAAATGTGTTTTAACCAACTGAGATTAGAGTTCTGGAAGAAGAGTATTTGTTCATCTACAGGGATTATTGTCTCCTTGGCAGGGAAACTTAATGAATCCTTGGCATTGTTGGAACTGTCAAACAAATATGGGGAACTTGGCTGATTGACTTTAAAAAATATGTGTACAAGTAATTGTTAATCCCCCCCCCCAAGATTTTATATAAAGTTACAGGACACTACTCCCTTGTTCAAAATCTTGGATCTTGGGGCCAGTTGTTCTAGAATTTCAGAATTTTTTATATTTTAGAAAGGTTAATTTGTATACATACACTGTGTATTTAATGTAACATCTCTTTTTACAAAAGGGACAATGGCTTTTTATTATTAATAACATGTATTATGATGCATTAGTTGGACTACCAAGTGTTATGCTTTCTGTAAAGTACTTTTAAACATTATCTTAGCTTACTTGCTCTGTAAATTATATTCATTTATACCCTTGAGAAAATTTAGAGTGGTTATATGACTTTTCAAGTGTTTGCAGCTGGGGAATGGTGAAGTTAAGATTCAGACCCATATCTGTCTTTGCGCACATTGTTGCCTCTTTATTGTACCTTATTGCTTAGGTTGAGGCAGAGGACTTGCACCACTTTTACATTGGGTTATTAAACTCTTCTCAGAAGAGACTGTTGAAATTTTATTGTGCAGGGTCAGAGAAATAAACTTTAAAAAATTCATTTTGGGTATCCCAGCTTCTTGGTAAGTTCAACAATTTCAAACATACAGTTTATTTTCTCTCTCTCTTTTTCTTTCTTTCTTTTACTGTGGATTGAACCCAGGGGCACTTGACCACTGAGCTATAACTTCAGCCCTTTTTATTCTTTATTTTGATAGAAGGTGTTGCTAAAGTTGCTGAGGCTGGCTTTGAAATCATGATCCTCCTGCTTCCTGAGTTGCTGGGATTACAGGAACTATAGCCAGCTGATACTATAATTTCTAAAATAAAATTCCATCTGTGCTGTTGATTAGGGACATGTGAAAGGGTCATGGCAGCTCCTGTGTCCATTCCCAAGTCTCTGTGCATATTATGAGTATTTTCTAAAACTTGGTTTCTGGAAGTGAAATTTTAGGGATACAGTTAAAAGCATATTATTAAGGTTTTTATTTTTAATTTTTAAATTTTTGTGGTGCTAGGGATCAATGCAGGTCTTGTATATGTCAGTTAAGTGCTGTACCACTGAGCCACATGCATCTTCAGCATCTCCAGTCCTGTTAAGGCTTTTAAACTCCTAAGTTGTTGATATGTAATTCTAGGACTATTTCCTGAATCTATGAAGTCCTTGCTGTTTACTAATTTATTTATTTTTTTAAAGAGATGTGGCCTATGTTGCACCAGGCTGGCCTCAAATTCTGAAGCTCAAGCAATCCTCTTGCCTTAGCCTCCTGAGTAGCTAGTGGTGTGTGCCACTACTCCTGGCTTATAATATGTCTAAAATCTACCATTCTGAACAGAAAATTTTGTTTTGTTCTTCATTTTTTAAGAATAAATTTTAAGTGGTCTTTACAAGTCTATTATTATTTTGGAAGAGATACATAAAAAATCAAAAGGATGGACTCTGGAGCTAGATTGTTTAGTTGCATTGACAAGAATTTATAGAATGTGCTTATAATGAGCACCTTGTCTTGGAATGTGTACTGTGTTTCACTGCTGAACATTAAGCAAGTCTTTTATTGTGCTTTAAATAAAATGTATAAGAGATCAGTTTATTTGTGGTTTATTAAGAATTTAAAAAATCAACTGGGTGTATTGGTGAATGACTATAGTCTCATCACTCGGGAGGCTGAGGTAGGAAACATTTGAGTCCAGGATTTCCAGACCAATATGGACAATATGATGGGGCCCTGGTCTCCAAAGGAAAAAAAGGGATTTCCCAAATTAGAAGTAAATGTTGAATACGATCAATTCCATTTTGACATCAGTAAGGCCAGATTTTAAATGTGTTTCGACTGGACTTAAAATGCCTTTAACAGTGTTTGTCATAGTGTCACAGTTGTTATTAACTCAAATTATTTCTAGTTATTATATGCTTCAACCAATCTCTTAAAGTCTGTTAATTTATTTCTTTTTGCAAATTCGGGAATATAGTGCTTGATTTATGCTTTTAAACATTTATTATAGTTTTATAATTTGCTGATTTAGCTTATTTTATATATTTTTCATAAAATATTTATGTGGGGCTAATGTAGGAACTCAGTGAATATTTGTTGAATGATTTAATTTTTAAAATTTTCTGATTAGTGAATCATCTCTGTAGCCCATTTTTTGACTGTCAAGAAAAGAATGTATCCATTTTAGAAATGGAAAAAATCATGAAATATGTATTATTAACAATTGTGGTTTCCTGATTTGATAATTATATGGCTCATTTTGAGCCAGTCGTTTTCCTCTTCTGACTTAAAGCATCTTGCCCAGGGTTACCAATCTACTGCCAGCTGTCTGATGGATTCAGGTATTTAGCGCACATGCATGCACACTTGCACACAGAATGATTTGTTTAAATCATAAAGAAATGTGCATGTAGGAAATGGTTAAATGCAGATGTAAAATGGGGTATTTTTTTCAGACATTACCCCTGAGTGGTTCTGAATTTCCTTCTTTTCTGAATGTAACTAAATATCTATGAGAAGAGCTTCAGAGATTTTTAAGGAATAGAATGAATAGCATTAACTCTTCTATTTTGGGTATTTGATCCCATATATATGTCTTCATCTGTACCTACAAAACAGTTTAAAATCTAC